TACCATAAATACAACTAATTAAAAATCTTCCAAATGCGCAATATCCATTGATAGTTAACATACAGTAAACAAAAATTCCGTTCATACATTCTTCCATTTTCCACATTTTTGCGAAATCGCCACTCATTTTGATATCGGGAATTTTTTTAAATATTCAAACTACTTCATATACGACTACATGATATTTTCATATTATTTTCTAAAATTAATAAATTTCAACATTATTAAATAGTTCTTAATTATACCAAACTGAATGACTAATATTTGATGTACATTATGCATGTAAATCACGGATAAGGTAGATAGGATGCAGCCTTGATTTGCATTACCCTGCTCATGTTATAGCCAGGACGGGATTTATTAATCATACAGCTGCATATTGCTGTATAATTCGAGTTAATCAATCAATCAAGAATCAAGATGGAGAAACTGGAGTTATTTTTATGTTGCCTACCTGATCCGTGATGTAAATACGTCATATTGAATCAATTTTAGGATGACTGTATGATTTTGGTTTCTATGTCAGATGAGGGGGGGAAGGCTAGCCTCACCCGTAGCACGTCCTATCCACAAATTACTCGCAAACATAGACGTGCGGCAAAGCACTCACCCGGAGCGCTTCCTTAGCCAAACCCAGTGACCCAAATAGCTTCCGCCAAAATGTCTTAATTTTTAATGCCTAATTTCCTCCATAAATGATTATTAAACTCCCATTTGGCAAAGTCAAGCGACGATAATTGATACAAAATAGATTTTTATTACTGAAATACCAGAATTTGAACGCGCTCAGATGAATTTAACCCCTAATATCGATTTCAAATAATTTTAAAGTGAATCCTACACAAAACTGCACTGTTTCTTGCAAAGATTGAACTTATCCTCAATTTCAAAACATGTATAAAGAAGATTAATATTGGCCCAAATATACGAAATATTGTGGTTAATGAGGAAATTGCAAAAAATTTAATTTCTTACCAAGAAGGTTCACAGTACTCTTACACAGTGCAAACCAAATTTACATTAAAAATGAATGCATTTTCAGGAAAGAAAATGCCTTAGTTTCATAACCCAATAAATATGTTACTATAAATAGTACTAAAGTATAAAAAATATTTAAATTCTTGCTCTGAGTTCTATGATCTGGATTTGCCACTGTGGTTCCCATACAGTCCCGTTCACTTTGTGTTGTATCCTTCGCTAGCAACCAACAATGTCATGCGACCAGTCCCATTAAATTGCAGTAGGTCGGGTTAGGTTGGGATTACGTCGAATTAACACACTGGCCGGAATATGACCAGTTCCTTTAGGTTGCATAAGGTCAGGTTACGTCAGGATACCTAAATGGTTGGAACATGACCAGTCCCCCTAGGTTCGGTTAGGTCTGATTAGGTCGTGTTAGGTTGGGTTACCTATCTGGTCTCATACTGGTAAGATAACCTAACTGGTCAGAACATGATCAATCCTCTAAGGTTGGGTTAGGTCAGGTTAGGTTGGGTTAGGTCGGGTTACCCAACTGGTCTCATACTGGTCTCCTGACCAGTCCAATCAGGTTGGATTTGGTCGGGAGTGGTCAGGTTATGTCCGAATACCTAACTGGTCAGAACATAACCAATCCCCTTCGTTTAGGTTAGGTCAGGTAACCTAACTAGTCTCATACTTGATTAAGCCTGACCAGTCCAACCAGGTCAGATTTAGTCGGGATTGGTCAGGTTACGGTGGATTAACTTACTGGTCAGAACATGACTAATCCACTAAGGTTGGGTTAGGTCAGGTTAGGTCACGTTAGGTTGGGTTATGTTAGGTTACCAAACTGCTCTCAAACTGACCAGTCAAATCAGGTTGGATTTGCTAGAGAGTGGTCAGGTTATGTCGGATTACCTAACTGGTCAGAACATGACCAATCCCCTCAGGTCGAGTTAGATCAGGTCAGGTTATGTCGGATTACCTAACTGGTCAGAACATGACCAATCCCCTCAGGTCGAGTTAGATCAGGCTAGGTTGGGTTAGGTTGGGTTACCTAACTAGTCACATACTGGTCATTGCTCTCAAGCAAAAATAATTTTGCCAATTACTTCTTTGTTACCAAAGCTAACAACAAGTGCTTTATGGGGATAACATCTTCATGTAAAGGGCTATTGAAAAGCATAAGTGAGAAAAGCGGTAAAATCTAAGCCCAAGTCGACCCTGTCTTACAGTTTAATGAAACTTTTTAAAAGTGTGGTCTTAACATGTACATTCCAATCATGCTGGATTTGGTCAAGATTGGTCATGTTACTTCGGACTACCTAACTGGTCAGAACATGAACAATCCCCTTTAGATTGGGTTAGGTCAGGTTAGGTCGGGTTACCTTATATTGGTCTTAACCTGACCATTCCAATCAGGTTGGATTTAATCAGGTTATGTCAGATTACTTAACTGGTCAGTACATGACTAGTCCCCTTAGGTTCAGATAGGTCAGGGTAGGTCGGGTTACCTAAGTTGTCCCATACTGGTCTTAACCTGACCATTCCACTTAGGTTGGAATTGGTCAGGTTACAATGGATTAACTAATTGGTCAAAAAATTACCAGACTCCTAAAGTCAGTTAAGGCCAGGTTAGGTCAGTGGGTTACCTAACTGGTATTATACTGGACTTAGCCTGACAAGTTTCCTTAAGTAAGATTTAGGTCGGATTAGGTCGGACGTGGTTCCTTTACCCAACTGGTCCTAATTGTTCATAACTTGACCCTTAAGTCAGATTAGGTCTTGCGTGGTTGGATTACCAAACTGGTCATAACTGGTCACAACCTGACCAGTGCCCTTAAGTCGGATTTAGGTCGTATTAAGTCGGATAAGGACCTTTTGAGGGTTAGCAACAACGGAAGGCAGTCATAGTGTAACAAGTAAATAAAAAAATTATGATAAATAATTATATCAAAATAGACGCTTTGAAATCTTTAGTATTTTGGATTAACGTTGCATTCCTCTTTAATAAGCATTCAAAAGTAAAGACATTTTGACGGAAGCTATTTGGGTGTGGCTAAGGAAGCGATATGGGGCTTAAACGCAAGTCTATGTTTGTTAGAAAATTGTGTATAGGAAGCGCTATGGGTGTGGCTAGCCTTCCCCCTCTCGACAGATATATAAAAATATATCTTTAAAATCAGAAAAACAAACAAAAAGATTTATCACTGATGTTTTAGAAATACTAAAATAAATTTTATATTTGAATTAACTTTTTTTTTAAATAATTTGAGTTTGAAGACATGGAATTTTATTTTGAAATAATTTTTGAGAAATTGAAAATAATTTTTGATAGATTTAAGATATAAAGATTTTTCTCTTGAATTCTACTTGAACCTGGATCGGAATTATCCTCTCAAGACATCAACTTTAATACATGTGAATACATTTTTATGGTACTGGGGAATTAGCAAAGAGAATAGAATATATTAGAGTGGAATTAAAACAATCCCTCGGTTTGAATTTTGTCAGTCCCTTTCAGTCTGAAAGGAAGTACAAAGTGTACAATTCATGTAAATTTTCAAAAATTATACGCTATATAATACAGTATGATCCCTTGACATATCCATTCCAATTTCTTTGTTTTATAAAGTTGTTAAATAAATTTGAACATGTGTATTTGCCATAGGTGAATTAAAATTTTATCATTAAAATTATTTTATTAAACATTAAAATGTAAAAAATGTCATTTGTACAGTGAAATAAAAAATTGATTTTTATCAAAGCTTATGCTGATATGATCTCAGGAATGCATGACAGGCTATCAGAGAATTGATTTAGAGAAAATCAAATAATTTTCAAGAAAACTTTTCTATAAAATGATGTTCCAGGGCCCAAAAAGTTATAAAGCACAAATGTGTGAAGTACACCTGTAGTATGGAAACAGTACAACAAAATGGCCGTTTTACAATTTTTTTCGAGTAAATTCCACTCTTATATATTCTATTCTCTTTGGGTATTAAGAGAGGGTCAGCCAAAATGAATTTATTTCATAAGCCTCTTATTTATGTCATATAAGACTTGGCATATTAAAAAAATTTTTGAGGGAAGTTTTTAAGATGTTTAAATGTTATGCTTTACTTAAGAATTTCGACCGAATATCCGCTTTTTCATTGAAAATTCTCAGACTAAATTAAGGATTTGGGGTGCTGCTGCCGCTGGAGCCCCTAAATCTTTTCTTTATGACTGTTAGAATCTATTTATAAATTTAGATTATCCTGACTGAAACCCCTGTGCTTTCTTGTGCTTTTACTAAAAAATATTTGTTTTTCTTCTGAATTACTCGCTGTAACAAAGACGACATATATATATATATTGAGGGATTACAGAATCCATTCAAGGATAAATTTATGAACGGGAAAAGTAATTTTAAATTGAAATATTGAAAAATAAATGCAAATTACAATTCACATAATAATTATAAATGAAAAGATTATAAACATATATTCATTTTGTCTATTCTCAACATAAGACACCGGACAAATGTATTAAAAGAGGAATATTGTGACAAAATAGTGACCCACTTAAAATACCCCACTGTGGGGGGGGAGAAATGAAATTTAAAACTATAAACATTATGTGCTGATTGCGAAGATGTTGGGTAAATAATTCTAGTCTATGTTCGACATCGGTTTGTCGGAGACTAAATGTTTCTAATTTATTATAAAGAGTTTACATGTTTTTACAAAAACTTGTTCTGTGCTCTTAGAAAAAAACTCACATTTATTATTATTGAAAATTAAAATGTTCGTAAAAATTTGCGAGACACAGCCACAGGGTGTCCCACGAAACAGTTGGTGAATAGTTTAAAATGTCTTCTTCCATAATATTTCAAGTTCAATATTTCATCCATATTATAGTAATATTGATTTCTAAGTAAAATATATTTGAGTAAATTTTTTTTTAAACTAATAAACTGCAAAATATCTTCAATATCTATTAAAGCATATGGAAGAAGACATTAAAAACTATTCACCAACCGTCATGTTTCGTGGGACACCCTGTAGATACATTTTTTATTAAAATTTCAAACAAACTGTTGGTAATTCAGAAATGCTATTGTTAGTTCGATTATTTATTAATGCTTTTGTTCTTATATAGATATCATACCATTACCATCATACCATGTGGGTCCTTAAGTACATTAGCTTAAATCAATCATATTTGTTGAATTTATAATTTAATAATTTAATATAGACTATTTGTAAAAAATTTAAGAAAAGAGAAAAGAGTTGAATGCCGTCTTTGATTCTGTTTCAGTTTGAAAACACAGCGTTAATTATCACTGAAACTAAGTACCTCGCTATTTTCTATTTTCTGGGGAATTAGAGAAATTTGTACAAACAGACACAGAAGGCAAAACGATGAATCAGCCCATTCTAGTGACTTATGTACGATGTTGTATACTGTGTAGGGTACTATGCACTGTACAGGCTATTGTGAACTGTACAGGGTACTGTGCACTGTACAGGGTACCAGGCCAGTTAGTAGATTAGACTTGAACCTCTGCTGTTGGAACGCTTTGGGTCGCAGTTGGTAAACAACTGAAATATTTCAGGTTAAGTAGTGTTTAGAAAATATTTCATAAGGTTTCCATTCGCAATATGCGCAATAATAGCGCAAAACCTAACCTTCTACAAGGTTATATATATACTTTGTTTGTCTGTCTGTCTGTTTGTATCCAATAAACGTCAAAACGGATGAACCGATCGAGACCAGATTTTGTGGAACCTCACATGATTCCAGGAAAGATTTATGAGTGATCAAAATTTCAAAAATTTGCCTCCAACAAAATTGGATTTTCATTAAATTAAAAAATCCACGATTTTTTTTATAAATCCGCAAACTTTTTTTGGTTTTGTTTTAGAGTGTATGAGTTCAAAGAGAAAATTAAAATGAAAGACGGGCGTGAAGCGCCCAAAACCACTAGTAACAGTATGAGTAGAAATTACAAACTTATCTTGTTAGCATGCCACAACAAAAAATCGTATTGGTTTGACAAATTTATTTTCCAGTGTCGCTACTCTGTAGTTTTAAATATAAGAAGAATAATACAATTGTGCGGATCATTACGCGAAATATTACCGAATGTTCTTTAAATTTAACCTACAAACATAGTTTTTGTACGACATTTTTTTAAACTTAATAGTTCTCTAACTAATGTGAAATTCAATGACACTTGGTAAAATTTGAAATTTTTTTACGCTGTCTAAACCTGCTAATAATGAAATGTTGTAAATATTTAAAACTCTAAAGTAAAAAAAGTAAAAAATTATTCATTTATGAAATATAACAAAAACATACAAAATAATGTGTTTCAGGAGAAAATATTTAAAAACCTCTAAAAGTAGAGGTTGTGGGAATACTTGCCCCCCAATTCTAAAAAAATATAAAAATAGAAATAAAAGGAAAAGGAAAGGAAAGGATAGGGAAAGTTACAAATTTATTGTTTACACTATATTTAAATTAGTGGTGGTTTGTTAGTAATTTTCGACGATGAACTAACAACTTTTAGAAATAAAAATTATATATTTATTTGTAATGTTAAAAAAAAGTAAAAAAAAAGCTTTATGGAGTGTGAAAAAGATATAGGTTCAATGAAAAACGGGCATTTTTAAGCATCTTTTTAATTCGCGCTGATTTTTGACATCCTTTATGTTTGATTATATCTTTTACCCTTATTAATCTTTTTATTCTTTTCTTTGTAAAATCGTCTTTGGTTTCTTCGATTCTTTTGCAAACATAGCATGTGTTAGAATTAAAACACTTGTTCTGCTGATAAAAATCTTCTATTAAATTCTGTTTAAAATTCGAAATAAGATTGATATTTGAAAGCTTAGAAAAGTGTCGTTTATTTTCATACCATATTTTAGGGAAATTGTGAGGATGGAGCAGTCCAATTTTAATAGATTTTATTCTAGGAATATCAACATCGTTTCTGTTTCTAAGATTTGCGTTTTTGATATTTTTTGATAATATAAAATCTTTTTTAAATGTTGGGGGTAATTGATCTCCTTTTAATTGAAATAAAAATTTTATTACATTAAAAATTCCTAATTTTCTGAAGGGGAGTATGTTTAAAGCCCAAACAGCTTCCGCTGTGTGACTTTTTCTAGGTAACCCCATCAAAAGACGGATAGCTTTCTTTTGCAATGATTCTATCTTGTCAATATTTTTGTTTGAAGTTAGCATTAGGAATGTTGAACTAATTTCTAAATGGGAGTGGAAAAAGGAGTAATAGAGCAATTTCATGGTTTCAAAGCTTAAAAAGTTTTTTTTTTTTTTCATAGCATAAAGTGAAAAAGTTAACCGCTTGTATATCTTTATAAAATAGTCATTAAAGTTCAATTTTGTGTCCAGCCATATTCCCAAGAATCTCACTGAATCTGTTTCTTTTATTCGTTCAATTTTTCGTGTAGATTCTCCTAATTTAAAGAAAACATCGGGTCAGTCGTTTTGTGCATTTAGAGAATTTGAAAATAAAATTGCATTAGTTTCCTCAAAGTTAATAGTAAGTTTATTAGACATGTACCAACAAGTTATTTTTTCTAATTCTTTATTTATTGTGTCTGCTAGAGTATTTAAGTTTTTACATTTTGATGCCACATTTGTGTCGTCGGCAAATGCTAATTATAGTCCATGAAGGATATTTTGAAAATCATAAACTGTGATACGATGGCTATTGAATATGAAATATAACCTGAAAAGGAAACCTCAGTTCTATTCCAATTGATTGCTTTTAAAATAAATTTCACCGAGAAGAAACATCATCAATGTTAATAAAAATCTTTTACAATTTTTTTGTGGAAAATCAATCAAATCTCTATGATATATGGTAAGAAATAATAAGATGTTATGCTTTCAACTATTAAAATGTACTTTTTAAAGGGACTGTAAAGGAAAAATCAAAGGGGTATAGGCTGAAACCTAAGAATCTCAGGAGTTGAACGATACATATAAGAGTTCTATCTGATGTTCCTGTCTCAAAAAATTGATATAAAACTGTGTCAAAATTATACCAAAACGTATTTTTGTAAGATTTTCTATAGGATTCGTAGTTTTAAACAGATCATATTCAACAAATACGCAACCAATCTGAAGACAAGGATATCCCATAGGAGCCTAAGAAACTCAAGTTTGCTCCTATTATTATTTGACTTTAATATTTTTTCATTTTTAATAGATATAATTGATAATATTATTTAGGCGTCCGGAACATGTCACCAGAACTCCAACCAATGGCAGTGCAGTATTATTGTCACGAGTCTCCGTCTGTTTCACGTGACCAGTATACTGCACTGCCATTGGAGAGAGTTCTGGTCACAGTATACGGAGGTATATCTTACAAAGTTACGTTTTGGCAAGGAGATGTTGAATAGAAGGAGGGGGCGATAGGGTTTCCGTAAACTTTGCTGTGACGTTTTTGGACTGCTGAAGAACTAGTTTTTGCGTAACAATTTATTTTTCAATTTTTCGAGACTGGAAAATCAGAAAGATGTCTTATAGGTATCGTTCAACGCCTGAGTTCTCAGATTTCATCATACACCCCCTTTCATTTTTCCTTTACAGTCCCTTTAAGAGTATTTTTATATACAAGGCTGTATAATAAGGTTGGTAACTCTCGATACTCGATACTCTCGATACGGAAAATGTGGTCTCCTCAGATAGATAGATAAAAAACTAATACGACCTCACTGATTATAGAGGTGAGAGTGACGTCATATTTTGCGCTGTTCTCCTTGTGGATCGTTTTTAGGAAAAAAATTAATAAAACTTGAAGATTTCAAAACTGTGTTTTGTTAAACTTTGACTTTATTAAACTTGGCAATATCTTTGACCTTTGACAATATGCTAAATATTGACCATGAAAGAAAATATAAACAAAACACAACCCAAAAACAAACCACCCCAAGACACATCATTGGTCATATTAGGTTTTATCTATCTATCTTAGGAGACGATATTTTCCGTATATTGCGCATTGAGACTAACCAACCCTTTTATACAACCTGAGTCGTATAAGACATGCGATAAAGCATCGCAGTAATATAGAATACCGTTGTGAATCGAATATGCCGATCTTAAAATGGTGAGTGACAGTATCTTTAAGTTTAAAGTTCTACCTGGAAACGAGGGATCGAAGTCCAGCCCTGAAGTTTTTGTTCATCCACGCGTAGAACCAGAAGTTCATGTTCGTGTTGAGGATTTGGAGCACGTTGTTCACACTAAACACACAAAGGTTCAAGGTTCTGAGTTGTTCTAAAGTTCATTAAAAGTTTATATTTTTTTTAATTCGCCTTATCATTTAGAAAAATTATATCCCTACAATAAAAAAATATTGATAAATTTAATTCTGATGAGTCATGTGACTTTTTTATTATAGGGAGTGTTCGCGTGGAATGAAAGGGGGTATAGGCTAACGTAATCGCTACTAATCTTACTTCTATCTGTTGCTTCTGTAAGGAAAAAAAATCGTCGTTTAAAGTATTTATATAATAAACAAGTAAACAATAGTATCCAATATTAACTTTTTACGAATGCATCGAATTGAATTCGATGAAGATAGGTTGTAATATCTGAATGATTAATTTCCAATTTAATTGAATTATTTACGATCTGAGTGGAGTAATGCAACTTTGTGAATTTGTAAGGACGCTACGTTCTTCGGTTTGAGTCGTGATTAACTATCATATTCGGTTCGATGTTATAGCCACTATATCTCCTTTCATTTTTCGCGAACACTCCCTTTAAGTTTTGAAATTTTGTATTTAAGAATTTTATCTACCTCATTAGACAGAAGAACCAGTCAGGGGTTGATCTAAAATAAAAATATTTTAAAATATACAATTATTTTTCTAAATCAGGATTTTTGCCGAGAAAATTTCCGTTTTCTTATTCTCAAAAGGGGTTGCCATTCCTACCTTTTGTTGTTTGCGCCATGAACCAGTATAGAAACGTATCATGGATTTCATTGGCTTAATGAATCAACAACGACAAAAAAAATCAAAGTAAATTCTTACAAACCTGATATCAATGATAGACTCAGCAATTATCAGAATGTTCCTGAAATAAACGTCAAATATTCAAATGTACGTTAAAATGCTTTAGATTAGAATTCTATTTGAAAACACTTAAAATACTCGTATTCTTTTAATTAGAAACCAGGGTTTCCACCTTAAACCAGGGTTTCCACCTTAAACCAGGGTTTCCACCTTAAACCAGGGTTTCCACCTAAAATAAGGGTTTCCACCTTAAATAAGGGTTTCCACCTAAAATAAGGGTTTCTACCTTAAAAAAGGGTTTCCACCTCGAACCAGGGTTTCCACCTTAAATCAGGGTTTCCACCTTAAATAAGGGTTTCCACCTTAAATAAGGGTTTCCACTTAAAATAAGGGTTTCCACCTAAAATAAGGGTTTCTACCTTAAAAAAGGGTTTCCACCTTAAAAAAGGGTTTCCACCTTAAATAAGGGTTTCCACCTTATATAAGGGTTTCCACCTTATATAAGGGTTTCCACCTTATATAAGGGTTTTCACTTTAAAACTGTTTTTATTTTATCGATATTTTCTGTAAAATAAAAACAAGGTTTCTTATAAGTGACCTAATTACCGTATATCTTTGCAACCTGATGGTGAAAAACATTGATATTCTAAACTGTTTGAGCTTAAATAAATCATATTGAATAAAACTATATGTATACAAGTACCTTGGATTTTTCTGATCTGATTTTTTAATCCAGATATNCTGGTCATGAAAAGAAATTGAGTCTCTGCCACAAATTCTGATTTTTTAATCCCAATATCTCTCCAACCCGTTGTCGTACAACTTAGACATTTCAAAATTAAAATATTTGATCCAACAAGTTTCATAGTTTGAAATATCTATGGTCTACGATATTGGGTTGGAAAGATATAAGGATTAAAAAATCAGATTTGTGGCAAAGACTCAATTCCTTTGCAAGATTTTTAAAGTAAAAATATCTGCTTAGTTTTAGGAGAATATTAGTTTTGGATAGAAAAGATGGTTCAAATATTAGAATGTATACTAAATTTCTTGCACATTTTATAGTTTTCACCTTCAGAATATCTTATTCAGCATGTTAGTTTAAACACTGTTAGTTTAAACACGACAACGTTTGATTTAAAAAAAACAGGAAACCATTGATGTGAGGTACTTTCCCAAAGGGATTTTCACAAGGGACAACTGCCCAAGTGTATTGTCCCAAGGGACAACTGTCCAAGTGTATTGTTCCAAGTGGCAACTTCTCAACTGAGCTATTTTCCAGCCGCCCCCAGTAATTTAATGTAAAATGATTATAGCGAGCAATTTTGATTAAGTTATGCAGGCAATGTGCAATAATTCGTAATCGTCTTTAAAGGAATTGAATTTTTGCCACAAACTCTAATGGTTTAATCCTTATATCTTAGAAACGTGATGAATTCTGTTGAATAAAATAATCTAAGTTTAAAATCTCAAAGGTTTACACTATCGGGTTGCAAATCTATTGGGATTAGAAAATTTGAGTTTGTGGCAAAACTCAATTCCTGTGCGTTTTTCGGAACAACCTGTATACTTACCTTTTCCATTTTTTTCTTTTTATAAAAAAATTTTCATTTTGTATAAAATATAACGACTTATATCTTATTCAGAAGTTATCGCATGTAAGTCTTTAAATTGAATTTTAAAAAGAGGTCGGAGGTTGGAATTATTTATTTATAATTTATAATTATAATTTAAATAATTAATATTAATAAACAATGTTTTAAATGAGGGTTAGTTCATGAAAGAAAAGTAAAATTCATGGCAAACACAAACATGAAAAGACACTCTATTATAATGAGGGTCAATCAGTTGGTTAGTCGAGATTCATGGAGTCAAGATATTTTCCTGTAATTTCAAACATTAAAGGGAGTGTTTGCAAATAATGAAAGTGGGTATAGACTTACGGCGAAAAATTATCGATGGGGATCACTACTAATCTTACTTCTATCTGTTGTGTCTTTTAGGAGAAAATTGTGAAAAACGACTCATGCCGATGAAAATTGCATCCATACAAATTCAGAAATTTGCAGCATACGACCGGAACTTAAAAAACCAATTTAATTCCAAACAAATCATTCAGATATTACAACCTATAATCATCGATAATTTTTCAAAGCATTCTAAAATAGTTGATATTTCATAATATATTTTTTTATGATCCGAGAATTAATTTTGAAAACATTTATTCCTATTTCGAGGATTTTTGATAATGAAGACGACATTTTTGTATTTTCCAGGAATGTTAGAAAATCAAGCGCCAGTTGTGAAAACAAGTTGTAAGCTAAATATTATTTAAAAAAATTAAGATTAAAAATTATTATGAAATATTAAAAATATACATATGCGTCGAAAAATAATCGATGATCATAGGTTGTAATATCTGAATGATTTGTTTGGAATTAAATTGATTTTTTTACGGTCCGAGTCGAATATTGCAACTTTCTGAATTTGTAAAGATGCAACGTTCTTCGGTATGAGACGTCTTTATCAATTTTT